GAGACAACGAAGGACTAGCACTTGATGCCGACCTTAGACAACGGGAAATTGAAGCCAAGTTTCAGCAGAAAGCCGATGAATGGAAAGACCCAAAGTACCTGAAGCAGCTGAGTCTCGAAACGGGCTACGATTTAGAGGGAAAAGCCCAGCAGAACAAACGGAAAAAGTACCCTAATCTGGTTGATATCAAGAAGCTGACTAATACTCCTCGAAAGAGGCTACTGAGGAAGATTAGCTCGAAACGGGTGCGAGAAAAGATATCCAGCGACCTGTCTGCACTGGACGACCAGGTACACCAGCAGTTTTCGCAACAGTGGTCCTACTCACTGGAGAATTGACCAGTGTGCTCCTGCCACCGCCAAATAAAGTGACCACCACCTTGATGCCCGGTTGACAGTGGCAAGGTGGTGGTCAGCAGAGAAAATCGCGCCTCATTTTGAACGCAGTTTTTCTCCTGAGTGCTGCGTCTCAGCGCTGCTGCTGCTGCGACGTTTGTTTTTCAAAGTGCATGTGTTGGCTAAGTAAGGTGTCAGCCAGGCGATGCAATGCTGCAACTGGCCGGGGGGAACAGTCGGCGACGGCAGGTTCGGGTGGCAGGCGCTGCAGCGGCAGTGTCGGGCGTCCCCCGATAGCAGAAATGGCCTCATTGCAGTCGCTCAGCAGTTCTCTCAGCAAATTTGTTCCAAGCGAGTTCTCCCGAGCAACCCGGACGATATAGAAGAGTGCTGCTGGTGATGGTGGTGCAGTAGTTGCAAGAGCAGCAGCAGCAGCAGCCCGTCTGCAGCCTGACAGCGGCGACTGCGGACAGTTTGTTGCCTTGCCGACACTGCTCTGTGCTCCGCACTGCTTTCCTGCTCCGTCCGCGTCGGACAGCCTGATTTAGGCTTCGCTTCGTTCAGCCCGAGTCACCATCGGAGTGCCATCCAGGTAGTCTCCCGTCTTCTCTGGCAATGTAAACAAACATCGTCCCTCTTCTCTGCCCTGTCAAACTGACTGTCCGCTGTTCTTCGACATCCCATTCACTCGGTGTGTCCACTACTATCTACCACTCTATCAGCTCGCACTCACCTTCCTTCTGCCTCATTGTCCAGTGGCAGCAGCAGTTCTTTAGCAGTCTGTTCGTTCGTCATCTGGCCATCGCAGCTAATCCCTCATTGCTCTTTTTGGCCGTCCCGGCTGCCAATTTCAATCGCCAGGCTCTCTCCCTCTCTCTCTCTCTCTCTCATCGCCGAAGCCTCTTTTGAACTCGAGTTCGATTTTTCTTGTGTTTGACTCTCATTTCGTTACTCGAATCTCCACCATCAACACGCTCTGCAACTTCAACTAGTCTGAAAACAGATAGATTCGTCCAAGTCGCAAACTTCCCCTCAACCAGCACTTTTTCCTGCACAGGTAAGGCACCTCCATTCAGCACCACCATACAAACACTGCACGGTTGGTCAGCAAAGTAGCTTGCCAACACACACGCTCACTTGCCTCCGCGCGCATTTGCATCGCCACTACCTCTGCCAAGACTGATGCAGCTGTACGAGACAAGGCAGCTACAGTAAACGGTGTATTTGTGTATGTGTGTGTTCATGGATTCCATCGACGATGAAACAGTGCATAGTAGTCAAGACTCAAGTCAGCTTAACGACGGCGACGACGATGGCAAACAACAGTGCGCTCTTTCAGTGTACACTTGGTCTCTAGCATCCTCGCTCTTTTCCTCTCTCTCTCTCTCTCTCTCTCTGCATTCATCCGACCAACTGTGCAAATGTATTAATTGGCCGTCTTACTCTTGCGCCAGTGCTCCCTCAGTGCCAGCAGATCACTGAACTGTGGCCCATTTCACAGTGCATTACAGCTCAGACGATGAAGACATCGTCTCTGGACGAGCACACTGCCTTTCTAAGTGCCATTACTTTTTTACTCTTTTCAGATAGCAGCGAAAACCGTCCACCATGTGCGCCGCACTGACCGAGAATGTGGTCCTCGTGAGGACACGATCACACGACCTGGCTTCAGTTAAAAAATTGAATTGCTGGTATGTACACAAGTGTGCACGTGTATGAAAGAGAGGACTCATAGAACACTTCTTACTGTTATTCGCCCACATTAAGCGCACCTCTGATAGTTCTAAATTAGTTGTCTCCTGTCGCTCTCCCTCTCAGCGGAGGAATGGGTCATTCCCAAATTGATCTGCGCCAGTCAGTCCTCTCCTGCCTGCTTCCATTTCTTCTCCCACATAGCCGAGAGCATAATTTTAGCCGGTATAATGTACTCTCTCCCTTTTGGTGGCAGACGTCGAATTCACCTACTTTTTTGCACGCCTCTGATCACCTTCCGATCGGTGCCCTGAGGGCTCTTTTCTTTTTCTAGCAACAGAGTCAGTCAGTCAGGGAGTGAGAAAGAGAAGGAGAGCGATTGAGTGAGTGAGTGAGGACATGTTATGTTCGCCTGTGACGGAGAGCACTCTCTGAGGACAGTGACCTTTTTCAGCTGTTGGCTTACTGTTAGCTGCCACGGTCTTTGCCTGCCGCACTGGCGCCTGATGATCGCATTACACCTGTGGGCTATTTTCACTTTTTATCCTGAAGCAGGCAAAAGCTTCTTAAACTTGCTTCTTATACTTTCACGGCGCCATCAACGAAGTGCTCATCGTCGGGGGCCTTCTCCTCGTCGAGCCACCACCGTTCGCTGTCATTTGCCACTTTGCTAATTTTACCCACTGACCGATTGATCCTTTGATGGCTCGTCTGTCCTCTCCTTCTCTGCCTGCCTGCCTGCCATTGTTCATCATTAGGGTCATTAGAGAGGGCACCTGCGCGTGAAAGTAGATCAATTATTGTGGTCCCTCATTGGCCAACAGCACAACACTAACGGTACTTTCCCACACCAACACCAACAGGGGCTGCGCACTGAAGGATGTGTCCATTGTCCACCGAATGCCCAATGTGGAGGTCATCTCCCTGTCCATCAACAGCATTGACACGCTGGAAAACTTTGCCTCCTGTACGATGCTTCAAGAACTGTACCTTCGCAAGAATGAAATCAAGAATATCAATGAAATACTGCACCTCTCACAGCTGCAGTTCCTAAAGAAGCTCTCACTGGAAGACAATCCCTGCACGACTACTGACAACTATCGCTTGACAGTGCTGAAAGCATTGCCAAACTTGGAGTTTCTCGACAATGTCAGGTACGTGTTTAGTGTCTCAAGGTTTGATAAACTCTTTTGACAATTCTCCCAATTTGTGCAGGGTAACGCCGGAGGAAATATACCAGGCGGAAAAGTCGGGCAGAGACCTCGTCTGGCCGGGCTCTGAAACGGACATTCCTGAGGATGAGATGCCCGAGGAGATGCCGGAGGAAGTGGAGTACACGACCAATGCTCACTCAAATCACCACCAGCATCCCAGCCATCACGACTCTCAGAGTTCACTTTCCAATGGAACTGCTCAGTCTAATGGATACACTGCGGCGGCTGCGGCTGCTCACGAGTCCAGTCAGTACTGCGCCTCGGTCAGCGAAGAAGCTGCCTCATCCTCTCCCTCTGGCTCCTCATCGTACCAGGGAGGCATCAACCAAACTGGCACGACCAATCGAAGTTCTGCTTCACACCTCAACAACAGCAACAATAGCAACAGTAGCAGCAACAACAACAACAGAGACGGCTACAGCAATGGCGGCNATGCTCACTCAAATCACCACCAGCATCCCAGCCATCACGACTCTCAGAGTTCACTTTCCAATGGAACTGCTCAGTCTAATGGATACACTGCGGCGGCTGCGGCTGCTCACGAGTCCAGTCAGTACTGCGCCTCGGTCAGCGAAGAAGCTGCCTCATCCTCTCCCTCTGGCTCCTCATCGTACCAGGGAGGCATCAACCAGACTGGCACGACCAATCGAAGTTCTGCTTCACACCTCAACAACAGCAACAACAGCAACAGTAGCAGCAACAACAACAATAGAGACGGCTACAGCAATGGCGGCGGCGGAAACAAGAGCGGCAGCAAGACGAACATGGCCAAATCAAACTCACTCTCTGACTACAACCTGTACCACAATGGTAAGACCACCACAAACAGTCTCACAGTTTTTAAAGCATCATTCCAATCATCCCTCCAGGGAACTACCGATCAAATTCTCCGCCACCGCTGTCGGCGACAAACAACTACGAGCCATCTGAGTACAGCTACGACAATGGACACAGCAATGGACAGGCGCAGCCATTCAGTACGCCCACGTACCATCAGAATGGCTCAACTCGCAACATTCAAAGTAGCGCCTCAAGTCAGCCTCGGTTGCTGCCCAAAGGTGGCAAGAATAGGGTAAGAAAACTGAAAGAGGCTCATTTTTACTACTTTTATAATCGAACTTTTTCCTTCAGAACGCCAACATTCTTTCTGCAGTGCTGTGTCTCATCAAGGAGCTCGACTATGGCAGCCTCGAGGTGGTGGACACGACGATCCACTGTCGCATGGAGGAGATGGAGGACTAATAATCGTCGAGTCAATATTTGTGATCTGTACATCAAGTTTCCACATCATTTGGACGTGGACACTCAAGGTTCGAATCACATGGAATCGCCTCAAATCGCCTGGACTGATAGTGCAACTACAAAACAAGTGCGACAACCCTGTGGTGCTTTCTCTTTTACAATTCTGTTTTTCTACTCCTAACGGATGCATTCCTTTGCTTTACAAGCTGTGTTTTTTCTGTTGATAGTTTATACTCTTTTCTTTCCCTTGTTTTGCTTACTCGTCAGTATACATAAAACTCTCATTTGCCCATGATTGCTTTGGCGCCATGAATTGCTTATGTCACGTGATGGTTTTGCCTCACCAGATGGAACTCCTGCTCGCTGTAAGCTCCTCCCTCTGAAGGCTATGTTTACCTAACCGGAGGCTATTTTGAGTAAAACAACCAGACGGCGTGCTAAGAAAGTTGCAACTTGCAAGTGCTTTCTCTCTTGTTCCATTTCACTTGGTTCACTTTCGCCAACCTTACCAGTCAACATGACCCAAAGTGCAACAGCCCAGAAGCCCGAGGAGGAGGTCAAAATTGAGGATCAAGGTAAGTGTGCTTGAAGAGAATCCTCCCCATTTGAGGCTAACGGTGCATTTTCACCATCTGCAGGATCAGGTTCTGACGACTCTGGCGATGAGTCCGACCCCAACATGCCGAGCCTGGAGGGCGGTGATCTGGACTCCAGTAATCTGGCCGCCGCCGCCAACGCAATGCTCGAAGATGCCGCCGGCAAGGGCAAGCAGTCTCGAAGCGAGAAGAAGGCCCGCAAGGCCATGTCCAAACTGGGACTGAAACCGGTAAGTACTTTGGTGTTGTCAGTCAAAACGCGTTCATCATTGACAAATGATTTCCGTCATTTCAGATTCCTGGCATCAACCGAGTCGCAATCCGCAAGTCTAAGAACATTCTGTTTGTCATCAACAAGCCAGACGTGTACAAGTCACCCGCCAGCGATACCTACATCATCTTTGGCGAGGCCAAGATTGAGGATCTTAGCCAGAAGGCCCAGCTGGCTGCGGCTGAAAAGTTCAAGAACCCCGAGAGCATTGGCGCCGGAGTCGGTGGCGTCGAGGGTGCCGCCGCCAACCTGAATGCCGCCGAAAAGCTGGCCGCTTCCGCAGCCGTCGAAGAGGACGAGGGCGAGGTGGACGAGACCGGAATTGAGGCCAAGGACATTGAACTGGTCATCTCCCAGACTGGTGTCGGCCGCGGCAGGGCTGTCCGTGCTCTGAAGAATAACAATAACGACATTGTCAACGCCATCCTGGAACTCACTACGTAAAGCTGCTGGTGTGACCAGTCCTGAGGTGTGGGCGGGAGGTGGTTTTCCCTCTCGGTACCACTCCTCGCTCCCTCCACTCACTTGGCCGTCGAGGTGATGGTCTCACCTGTCGTTATTATTCTAGGCGTTTTGTATTAAATCCACTGCAAAATCCACTCTGTACGTGCTTGCAATCTTGTTGGTTGGTCGCTGTGCCATCCCCCTCCTTATCTGGGCGCTTCACGACAAGTCAGTCGGTGGAGATTGGCGCCACTTGCCGCTCGGTCGGGACGGGAAACTCGTGAAATGGCCGAGAAAGAGCTGGCGTAAGCGGAAACCGGTTACTGAGATTGTGTTTTATTCGAAGCCACTCACTGCCAGTCAGTGAGTGACTGTACGGACCTGCGCAGTGGACTGCCAGGTGGACGCTTGCGCGTCGCGCGTTTCGCGCCGTTTTGCTGGGAAGAGTCAATCTCGAGACTTAGCACCGCCCTCGCCTCCATTGCTGGTCGCAAGCTAGCGACAGTGATCGTCGCACACACGTACACTGCATTCACATCAACTCTCTCTCTCCCCCTCTGCTTTCAGCCTGTGTCCTGGCCGTATAGGCAACGCGCCTAGCAGCTCTCTCTCGGCAGCAGCAGCAGCACAGCACACTGCGCGTTCGAATAATCGCTACTGAGCAGCACACACAAACACAGGCTCTCTCAGTCGCTCGCGATTTGCAAAGCCATTCTCATCACTCCGACCCGAGCGATTGAGTCATCTCTCTTCTTCCGCTGGTCCCCTAGTGTCTTGTCCGTGCCAAGCACCGCCACGGGCCGCCCCGACGCCCGCAGTGTCTGGTCCAGCAGGAGGCCATCGCCCAGCGAGAAGCGTCAACGCTGTTTGGGCGCCATTTCCTTTCGCATCCAAGTCATGACCGCGTTTCATGGCGCCTTCTTCCGACTCCTTATCCTCGCTACCTGACTTTCTTCCACTCTTCTCACCGAATCGGTTCTGCCCATCAGCATTCTGACCAAGCTCGTCCGCCACACCAAGCGTCGTTGACGGCAGCTGTTTACCGGCTCAGCAGCCGCCATCATTAAAGTGGTAAGTTTGGCCAAAGTTGTTGTTGTTGTGTGGTGTCGTCAACACTTGACTAATCCTCGCCTTCTCCTCCTTCTCTCCTGTATCGCCCGACGCGCACTTTACCATGTTCACCTTCAACAGTAGGCCAACAGCATCAGCACAGACCAAAATGATGAACACGGCAAACGTGACGGCGACCACCATCAACACCGCCGCCGGCACAACGGCCACCACCATCATGAAAACCAACTCGCAGCAGGCAGCCTTGTCCCTGCAGACGAGTGGCATCATTCCTGCCGCCATAATTGCAACAAACGACAGGTTATCCACGGCAAACAACGTCGCCCACAACTCTATCGCCGCCTTGCAGAATCATGAATCAACGAATGCGAATTCCACCACGTCGACAGCCCCGCAACCCGTGACTGCCTTTACTCTCCACGCCCCAGCTCAGGCCTTGCAGGCTCTGCCCAACAATCTTGCAGCAATCAGCGCAGTCACCTCGGCCACCTCATCGGTTCCGCCGACGGCGCAAATTCAGGCAATGCCTACCGCCAACACGTCCATTATTCATCCTGCCACTATTGGCCTCAGCAGCTCAACCTCTGCCACACTAACGTCGGTTGTTGGCACAGGCGCCTCCATCTTGCCGGTTTCTGGCCAACAAGTGAACGCAATTCCTGTCGGCGTTGCCGGCCCAACGGTTCTCAAAGCTCAACCTCAAGTAACAGCATTACCAATTTCAGCACAGCGGTTTCAAGCCACCGCCAATGTCATGACCTCAAGTGCTGCCGCCGCAGCCGCCCCAAATTCGCTTTTTATCCCGCACGAAACTCACGTGCCAGCGGCTGCAGCCAAGAATCTTTCGGCCACTCTCTCCTCTGCTCCCAATGCCCACCATCAGACGATCATTCAGACAAACTCGGTCATCAGCGTCACAGCTGCGGGCCCTACCGTCACCGTCCACCAGCAAATACCATCGGCTCACAGCAGCGGTGCTCAGCAGCCGCTCTTTATTCAGACGAGCAACNAACTCGGTCATCAGCGTCACAGCCGCGGGCCCTACCGTCACCGTCCACCAGCAAATACCATCGGCTCACAGCAGCGGTGCTCAGCAGCCGCTCTTTATTCAGACGAGCAACCCAACAGCAAGCAGCGCCATTTTGCACACCAATGTTGCTCCCTCGGGCCCTACCAACTCTTCAGTTCTAAATGCGGCAAACTTGTCTACAATAAACTTATCTACCTCTGCAGCTCATCATCAACCAGCACCAGCACCACCACCACCACAACAGCAGCAACCTCCACAGCAGCCAACAACACCACAACAGCCACCACAACAGCCGCAACAGCCGCAGCCGCAGCCGCAACAACAACAGTCTCAGCCGACGGTCATTACACAGCAAAGTGGCCCAACGACACAGCAGCAACAGCAGCAGCAAAATCAGCAGTTTCAGAGGCTAAAGGTCGAAGATGCACTTTCCTATCTAGACCAAGTCAAGTACAAGTTTAATGACCAGCCGCAGGTGTACAATGACTTTCTCGACATTATGAAAGAGTTCAAGTCGCAGTCCATCGACACACCGGGCGTCATTCAGAGGGTCTCGAACCTCTTTAGGGGCCACCCTGAGCTCATTGTCGGCTTCAACACCTTTCTTCCACCGGGATATAAAATTGAGATTCACGCCAACGAAGTGAATGTCTCAATGCCCAATTCGACAAACTTTACCACCCCTCTCGGAGGGCCCATTGGCGTGGCCACCTCGACCATTGTCTCTGGACCAGGGGTATCTCAGCAACAGCAACCGTCCAATTCAGGCAGTTCTAATCGAAGTTCTGCCGCCTCGACCATGAACCTTTTTCAAAGCATTAGCCAAACCAATTCAGTTGCGTCTCGGGAAACCAACTCGACGTTGGTAAACAACGTGGCAGCGAGTGGATCTCGAGGTGCCGACTCGCACACGATAAATCGGTCATCGAGCCAAGGAGAGGCCGCCAGCAGCAACTCTCGAGCACCAAATGATTCATCTCAGCGCTCCTCTCACGGCTCAACGTTGACTCCACCGGTTGAGTTTAATCACGCCATCAACTACGTCAACAAGATTAAGAATCGCTTTTCGAGTCAGCCCGAGGTGTACAAGCAGTTTTTAGACATTCTCCAGAGCTACCAAAAGGAACAGCGAGTAAAGGGCGAGGGCTCCAACGGACAGAAGTCCATCGGCGAAAGTGAAGTGTACGCCAAGGTGGCACAGCTTTTTCAAAAGCAGGACGACCTTTTGAAAGAGTTTAGCCAATTTCTGCCTGATGCTACCGGGGGCGGCAGTATCGGCGGTGCTGGTGGTGGCGGTGGAAGTGGTGGCGCTCATTCTTCGCTTAACTCGAACTTTTTGCTGGCCACTCCGTCGCACGGAAACAATGCTCACAACTGTGTCGGTAACTCGACTGCCAACTCCTTTACTCATCTCAACATGACAACGCCGGGAACACCGCCCACAGTGGCCTTGAGCCATGGCAGCGGCCACCACGCAGAAGGAGCTTCGCGAGTCGACGGCATTGGATCTTCTCTCTACAACAACAGCAACAACAGCAGCAATAATGCTCTCGCCAACACTGACCACAGTGCCTTGATTAAGAAGCAGCCCGTTGGCCTGGCAAATTCTAATCCACCGCTTAAAAATGCTCGCGCACTAGACTCGGGTCATTCGCCGAACGCTATTGCAAACAATGTACGCGTACCAAAGCGACCTCCGACAAACCTGATTCCCAGTGGCTCTGTCGACGTGTGCTCGGTGCCCAACAAGGTAGGCATTTTTGTTCACATGACTCAATTTGTTGGCATCTCATTTTTTGCCCCCACGGCGCCACTGGTGGTCGCTTTTGTTTATGACGTCGTGTTTAGAAAACGACAGTTTCTTCGAGTGAAAGCTGTGCTTTTTGCTGTCATTTTATTAACTGTGGTTTCATTTTTCTCATTTCCCATTAGCGCTCAAAGATGCTCCACGTCCGAGATGCTGGCCATTCTGAGGCGAGCAACAAGTACGTTGGCGAACTGGCGGAATATGCTCTATTTGACAAGGTATGCTGCTGTTTGGGTTGCTTGTTTTGCTCTTGTTAACACTTTGTTTCTTTCAGCTTCGAAAGCACTTGAATCGCTATCAATATGACAATTTCCTCAAGTGTCTGGTGGTGTACAATAACGGTGTCATTTCACGTACTGAACTGTTTCAGCTGGTCTCTAAGCCAATCTTTGATGGCCATCCTGACCTGCTAAAGCGCTTCAAGGATTTGTGGGGCATGAAGAGTGGCGAACTGGGCGACGGCAAACAGGAGACCAATGGCCCCAACAGCACACCCTCGATCTCAGGCTCGTACTACAACAACTTGTCGTTCAACAGTCCATATGCAAACAACTACCAACTGGAAGGCCTGTCTAATCGCCTAGTGATGATGAAGGATCGCGCAAACTGGGACAGTGGGGAGCACGTTATCGAGCATGACGTTGGCACCTACAAGCGATATGGCATTTCCTACCGAGCCTTGCCAGCCAATCCCAGTGAGGCCCAAAAGTGCTCGGGCCGCCTCAATGATGAAATTTGCAAGCAAGTTCTCAACGACACGTACGTTTCATTTCCCTCTTGGTCAGAGGACTCTTCCTTTGTTTCATCTCGCAAGACCCAGTACGAAGAGCACATTTATCGCACAGAAGATGAGCGCTTTGAACTCGATCATGTCATTGAGNACTCTTCCTTTGTTTCATCTCGCAAGACCCAGTACGAAGAGCACATTTATCGCACAGAAGATGAGCGCTTTGAACTCGATCATGTCATTGAGACAAATGCTTCATGTATTCAGCTCTTTGATACCGTCCTGAAGCGAATGACCAACATGACTGAAGAGGAAAAGTACAACTTTGTATTGGATGAAAACCTTTATGGTCGCTCTTGCGTCATTTACAAGAAGGCCATCAGGCGCCTCTATGGCGAAAAGTTTGACAATGTTTTTCTCGGTGAGTTTTTTTTGTATTTCAACAATTTACTTTACTCATTTTTGTTGCCCTCTAGCATTGAAAACCAACCCACAAAAGGTTATTCCAGTGATTTTGAGTCGCCTTATTGCCAAAGATGAGGAGTGGCGAGAAATGCAAAAGAACTTTAACCGTACCTGGCGGGATCAGCTTGAAAAGTTCTACCTCAAGTCGCTTGATCACCAGGGAATCAACTTCAAGACGAATGACAGCAAGGGCTTGCGCAACAAGGTCCTCCTCACCGACATTGAGGCTATTCGCGATGAGCGCCAAAAGCAGGAACAGGAAAAGCAGCAGGAACCAGCTGCTGCTGCCACTGGCGAGTCGGCCAGTGTGCCAGCAGTGGTCAACGCCCAGCCGCACATGATTCAGGTGTACCCCGACAAGGCCATGATTGACGTTGCCTGCAATCTCATTATTCACCACGTGAAGAGGCAGACCTCTACGCACAAGGAGGACAAGCAGAAGATTAAACAGCTAATGAGACACTTTATTCCCGATCTCTTTGCGACACGGCGGGGTGAGCTGTCGGACGACGAGTGCGAAGACGAGGAAGAGCCAATGGACGTGCAGGAGACAGAGGGTCCCAAGAGCGCCAACTCGCCGGGTAAGTTAAATGTCTCTCCATAGCTTCTTTTTATTAACTTTTTGTAACTTTTGCAGATGACAAGGAAAAGAGTGTGGCCAACGAGCCTGAAAAGCAAGATGAACAGCCTACTGCAGAACCTTTGCCGCCAGCTCAACCCGCCAACCTGCTCAACTCTGACCCGGATGACACTTATGCGTTGTATCTCGTCAATGATTACTGGTATTATTTTTTCCGGTTGCACCATATTCTCTGTGATCGACTGAGCAAAATGAACAAGCATGCGCTTGAAATTGCCGCTGAAGAGGCTGCTCAAAATGTAAACAAAGAGGAGTCTCCTTCCAACAAGCTGCGGTTAAAGAATACGAGTAAGTTGATTTTTCTGTTTTGAGTGAAGATGATGCTAACTGTTTGACGACTTTACAGTAGACTATGAAGTAGACGAGTACTTTTCTACCCTCGTCGACATGGTAAAGCAACTGCTGGACGGCAACTTGGACTCAAACACGTACGAAGATACTCTCAGGGAAATGTTTGGCATTCACGCCTACCACGCCTTTACCATGGACAAGCTCGTTCAGTATTGCGTTCGAAATGTAATGTTGACCTTTTTGGTGCAAATCAAATGGTTGCTAACAATTTCTTTTTTTCTAGTTGCAACACATTGTCGGCGATGAAGTCTCTATGCAGTGCTATGAGCTGTTTTTGGATGCAAGCAAGACTGGATCCGCTGGCGGCAGCTGCAAAACGGCACATGAGCGAGCCGAGAAGGAGGCAACCTACCAAAGAAATGCTGAAGAGCTCATGTCGGATGAGCTTTCCTTCAAGCTGTTTGTTTACAAAAATGAAGGAAAGGTTACAATCGACTTGATTGGCTCCAATGAAGAGGACAATGACTCGCCGAATGATGGCGACGATGACCATCCGACCTCGCAGTCTGTCCGAACTCTGCGGTCCACTGCAAAGAACAGCAAATTTGACAAGTGGGACAATCCAGAGGCGTACAACGCCATGATTGAGGAGAGGCTGCGGGATAACCCGAGGTGGCTCGAGCGAATTGTCCGCAACGCAAAGTCTACAGTGGCCGAGACTAATCAGGAGTCGAGAGACACTGAGAATGAGACGGCTGAAAAGACGGCTGACGAGGAGCCAGCGTCGAGTGAAGAGAACAGCAATCAAGAGGGGTCGTCGAGAGGACCCGAAGTGAAGCATTTGGCGCTGGACAAGTACAAGTCGGTTATTCTGGCCAATAATCGGCACTTGTACCGCCGCAATGCACTGAAAAAAGCCCGCAGGGTAAGTCGATGATCAATGACGACGATTCTTCAACTAATGGTCATTTGTATTTTGCAGAAACACCAACTGGTAACTAGTAAAAAGTTTGAAAAGTTCAACAAGCTTCACACGACCTGGTTGGAGGACTTTGTCTCCGAAGATTTAGGAAGCAAGTGTGATTCATGGCTCCTCTCTTCCAATGTTCAAGCCAATGATAGCGAAACAGAGCAGGCAATCAGAGATACAACCTCGGCCCTTGTCGCCCTAGCCGAGTTGCCGGTTGTTTCTGCAACTTCAACCTCTGATAAATCATCATCCTCATCTTCAAACGGCTCCGAGGCCAAAGCCTCTAGTAGCTCCACCGCTTTACACAAAAAGATGCACCGAGTGACAATCGAAGATGATTCGCACACTCCATATCGACCGTATTGTAAATATGTTTTTCAATGATTCAACTCATTGCATTTAACTTTAAAATGTTAACTATTTTTCTTACACAAAATGCCTCACTATAAAATGGTTATTTACTCATTGATCTATTTGGAAGACAAAGCGCGTCGTTGCCATAGTTGTATATTTTCTACCACTGTTACACGCCTGTTTGTGCTTGATCAATCCTCCTTGTACACACCCACTCTCTCTCTCCTCACTTCTCACCACCTGTTCTTGTCTCAAAACGAGAACATTACCCTAAATCATATCTTACTTTTCTTATGTATATTTTTCATTGCAACGACTGTATATACTCTTTTTTGCTTCAAAACAAAACAATCTATTTATCTACTTCTTACCATTCAAAGTCTACCGTTCAGATCAGCACTGCTGCCACACAAGGAGAAGTGTCCTTGGCACTTGAAGTGCACTTGATCGAATAGTCAAGTTTTGTTTTATTTTTATCATAAAATAATACATAACACAAGTCAAGTCCAAGTCAGTAAAAGTTTACCATGAATCGTCGTACTGTTGCTTCTGCTGCTGATCATCTTCCATCAGACATACTTGTTGTATATGAATACTCCAGCCAACATGGTGGCGAGGCCAAGGCCAAAAGTGAAAGCGTACGACAAAGTTTTGCGCATATTTAAATTGTCAAGTGGTGATTTAGCGATCAATAGCTTCAATCGGTTGGTGTTTGATTCAGTGTACGGAGGGTAGCGGGCACTGCAATTCAATCAGAGTATTAATAGAGATTTCAGTAAGTGAATACAAAAGAGCACTTACGCTGCCAAAAACTCTAGCACGGGATTGTAATCCTTGGCCAAAACCGCTTTTGAATGAGAGAAGGCGGCAAAGGAAAACTGTCCGTGATAGCTTCCAATTCCCGAGTTGCCCACACCGCCAAAAGGAAGGGCGTGCACACATGCTTGCATTCTGTAAAAAGTGTTTTTAGTAAGTAAAATCTCAAACCCTGCCAAAATTACTTACAGCGTGTCGTTGATGCATGTGCTTCCACTGGAGGTGCGCGCGAGGAATCGATCGACAACGTCCTTTTTGTTGGAGAAAATGTACATAGTGAGCGGCTTTTCGCCACGGTTCACATAGGCGATGGCCTCATCAGCCGAGTCCACGGTGACAATGGGCAGGATTGGGCCAAATATTTCCTCCCTCATGAGTGAATCAGAGGATGACACGCCGGCGACGACGGTAGGGGCCACGTAGCACTCATCCCTGTCAGTCTCTCCGCCAATGACCACCTTTCCCGTCGTCTTGCTCAGCAGACTGTTGATTCGATCAAAGTTTTTGACGTTGATGATGCGCGCAAAGCTCTCCGAGAGCTTGGGATCAGTTTTGTAAAAGTCGGCAATGACCTCCTTCGCGGCCTTGATAAACTTGTCCTGCACGTCCGGTGAGCAGAGGACATAGTCGGGCGCAATGCAAGTCTGTCCGGCGTTGACTAGTTTGCCCCAGAGGATTCGCTTGACAGCCACGGTCATCTGTGAGCCAACGGACTCGTCAATGTACACTGGGCTACAGTTCAAAGAGAGGGTTGTTAGATTTATCATCCAACTTCAATTAAATCTGCTACCTTTTTCCGCCCAGCTCGAGAATGACGGGAGTCATAAATTTTGCTGCTGCATTGTACACAATTTTACCGACGACTGGTGAGCCAGTGAAAAAGACGAGGTCAAAACGCTCCTGAAGCATTCGAGTCGCCTCCTCGGGTCCACCGGTAATGACGTGGTAGCAGTCCTGGTCCAGGTACTGCGGCAGAAGCTTTGCAAAGAGCTTCTCAGTGTTGGAGGCCACTTCAGATGGCTTGATAAGGGCGCAGTTTCCCGCGGCGATTGCCCCAACCAGCGGACAGAGCAGAACTTGAACGGGATAATTCCAAGCCGAAAAAATCAAAACCACTCCATAGGGATCATAGTGGACGTAGGCATCGTCAAAAAAATTGGCCAATCCCTTTTGAACGTGCTGAGGCTTGACGTACTCGTGAATGTGATCCAGCTGATACTGAATGTCATTCTTGACGTACTCAATCTCGGTGATTACGGACTCCATTCGTGGCTAAAAAGGAAAAGGTCAGACGAGTTACCGATACTTTTTAAAAACTGACCTTTCTGAAATCTGCCTTGAGAGCACCGACAAACTCTTCATAGTTTTCGTCGATGCACTTTCGCAGCTTTTTCAGCTGATCAATGCGAAAGTCCACGCTGCGGGTGACATTGCGTCCAAAGGCATCACGAGCCCTGAGAATGGCCTAGAAAAAGATGGCAATGTGAAAGATGGCAAACAATGCATACAAATGTGTGGGGAGAAAAAAGCAGAGCCAGACAGACAATGCGGTACCTGAAGTAGCGTATCTGAAAAGGCATCATCCTGTGAGATCACAACGCTAGGATAGCTTTGGTCATTTTCGATGTTGATGAGACATGTTGAATCAGTCTCACTTAGAGAGTCGGTGGTCATGATGGTAGTTAGGGGGGAGGTAGTTAGGTCAGATGTAAACAGGCAAATAAGAAAGATAACGGTCTACAGCAACCACTGAAATGCACAACACTTTTGACAATTGTTCGTTGCCCGAGTCGTTGCTGCTCAGCTGGCCGTCAGTGGCTGCGGCAAGAGAGGCAATGACACAATGTTTCGTGATTATCTTTGCTATTAATATAATAAAAAGGGCTGCTGAAGAAAGAAAGAAAGAAGTTTGCGTTCAAAAAGTGGCCTCACTAGCGAGTCGACACTGGAGAGCATTCAGCCGAAAAAGAGAGAAAATTGCTCGTGATGGCAAACTTTTCCGCACACCCCTAATACCATTGGAAGGAGAGAGAGAATGATGTCGAGTGGTGGCTGAGTAAAGAGTAACGGGATGCACGCCAGCATTGATGATAGGTCACAACCTGATTGAGAGAAGGAGAGAGAGAACTTGAACTCACTCTCTCGACCAGTCAGCTGGTGATGAGTCAAGTGCTGTCAAGTGCACTGCCCCGACAAAGTCGTCAGTAGTATTAGGTCAGTACTGCTACTGCAGCATATGTCAATTGAGAATCAAAGATGACACTGTGGCTCAAAATTGAGACCAAGATGAAGGGAGGGAGAGAGAGGTCGATCAATCAGCAGGCGGCGCAAGAGGCATACTGAGCAGTAGAACAATTGGCACCACTACTCATCTGAAATGAAAAGAAGCCATTTGCGAGGAGCAACGTCGCCGGCGGTGATCAGATCTCTGCTTCTCTTGAATCGATGAGCACTACTACTTCTTCTTTAATCACAAGTGCTAATTACCAAGTCGACAGAATGAATGCATCATTCCAGTCCATTGCCATTGCAGACCTGCACAGGGTGGCGCCTGATCCACTGGACCGGTGCAGTGCAAACTAGTCACAGACGACTTACTGACTGGCTGTCGAGACAGAGCAGACATGTCCAATCAATCGTCACTAATTACTCCTGGCGGATAATGAGTGACCGCACTGCTAATTATATTAGCACACTGCAAACATAAGCAGCAAGCAGCGGGTGCTTCATATTGGGTAGCAGGCATTTTATTCAGTCATTCAGGCGCCCTTCAACAAAAATCCTGAAGCTCATCACGCAAAACGCCGAAGCAAGTGGGCTGTGAACAAAGTGTACAGTGAAAAAGTCATTCCAACTGTACATTTCTTTCAGTAGCAGCAGCAACAAATGACACAAATGGACATTTGTTGAAAATTGAAAGGCAATTTAGGAAATGAGTGTGTATGCAAAATAAAATGTATAGGAAACAAGAGCATTTTAGGTACATCTGGTGCACGATAGAAAAAACACATACACAACAACAACAACAACAAATAAAGGAAACTTTGTTCAGCTTACCGTACTGATGTCATTGACATTGTTCATCTCAACGCTGATCATGTTGCCGAGCTGAAAGGATTGGTGAAGCAGGAAACAATTGAATAACTTGGTACACTGGGCAAATGTGCAGCTATTGACTGATCAACACAATTGAGCTGACTGGCATCGTCAAACAAACAACACTGCGACTTTTGATCAAAAAGGCACTGTTATCACATGCACAACAAGAGATGGGCAGCTGAACGATATTTGTCATTTGGCGTGGAGATAAGTGAGGCGACAAGAGTGCAGGCATAGTTGTAGCCAACTCTGTGAAGCTAGAGCTTGGGTAATGCAAAGGTGGAAAGGTCTATTAGCCTTCCGGTCAATAGAATGGTACAATAGAAGTAGAATGAAGAGATAATTTGGGCTGGATTAATAACACAATAAAGACTGCGACACACAATTATCGATGCCGAAATAAAAGTAGATGCATGTCCAACGTGTGTAAATCTGTTCAGTGTCATTATC